GAGCCCTTTTAAATATACGATATCATGCTGAAATGTTACATACTTCTATACTATGTTGTGAGTTAGTACCTGGTACATATGATATATGCTAATTGAGTGAATAAATAATTTATCACAAAGTATAGTAGTGGATGATCATTTAATCATTATTTTGCCCTTATGGAGTAATCCTTTTATGGAAAAATGGGGGTTAAGAAAATGCTTATTAAAAAAGGAGATTGCTTAGTTCATTTCTATTTTCTTTGTGGTGGTAGGAATGTCTATTTCAACATGATTTTTTTTTTTGGGAGGGGGGGAGTATTTTTAAGTTGTTTTTAAAAACGGAAAGGAGATCAAACCAACTAGTGCTTGACAAATATAAAATCAAAGACTTCTGTCCATGGAGCTTTTCCAAAAAACAGGCAGAAATGCGTGAGGATCTTTTGTTTACTTTGCTGTGGCATGCGCACTGCCTTCCCCGGGTGCAGTAACCAGGGCTGGTCAACAGCCAAAAGAGCTCGGAACCACTTTGTTCAGTTTAATTGTTCTCTAATTCGCTTCTGATATTTCTTTTATAAGAGTCTCTTTCTACTTAGTGTATATAAGTGTATGTTTATTTATTTAATCTGTGTTCATTTAGTGCATCTACAATAAAATCAAAATTGGATTTAAAGAATAAATTTTTAAAAATTAATAAAACTAGGAACCATACAATTGGCCAAGTCACGAATAAAGCAGGCATTTTATTCTTTTTCATTTACGCTTTCATCTGTTTTTATTAGTTGTAATCTCCACAGTGAAACTATATATCCCATTAAATTTGATCAAAATAGTTCGACTGTTTTTGCTGTTGCTATTTTTTAACCCAGGTGTCTGACTATAAATACTTTTCTACTTGAATGCATTATGTTTTTAAAAAATTTTTAAGAATTATCACACAAGGTGTGAAATTAAAGAACATCGTCTCCAATCCTGTCCTCGCTTATGCCACCGATGGCAAATTTGGGGCTTCCCAAGACCATCTCAGCCTCGGTAATTTGCTTGAAAGGATCCCAGAACTCACTGAAAACTGTTATAGTGATGGCTATGGTTTGTTAGAAAAGGATACAGATTAACATGAGCCACAGGAGAGATGCATGGGCAGAGTCCAGGAGGGTTCCAGCAGTGCTCTCCCAGCAGCAATGTGTGACAGGTACATTAAGTACTGCCAAACAGGGAGGGCCACCCTGGCCTCGGCATCCAGATTCTTCACTGGAGTTTGATCACCAAAACCTAGTTAGTTACCTCAGTCTCCATCCCCTCCAAAGGTTAACTTATACCCGGTGATCCAAAGACTCCACCCCCAGATCACATTGTTGGTGTGGTTCAGAGCCCTCACCCTAAATCACGTTATTACTATCTGGCTGGCCCAATGCACCTGGGTAAACAAAGGCACTTGGAGAGGTCACCTTTCAGTAGCCAAGGGCAAAGGCCAGACCTTTCTCATGGAAAGGTTAACTCTATTAACACACAAGATCAAAATCAAGGTGCACAAATCCAGTGTCTGACTTTGATCAACACATCCTGGCCTGGTTGACTGGGGGACACAACTAGTACTCTCCACGTTATGGAATGTTAAGGTTGAAAGACGCATAATCTTTGGCCTTCCCATTATTTATTAAATATGAATTTAGGAAATAAAGCAAATAAAATAAAACGAAATGTTTCATGCTGGTTGTTATTTTTTCAGCATGTGATTTATTTCAGAATTAAAAGTTCTAACGCTTTAGAAAAACATGTTTCTTCCTTTTCCTTGTTTTTAAAGTTCCTCTTTTTGCCATGATTGATATGTTTTAGTGGGTAGAGCATTAGCCTGACCACCAAAGGCTCTCGGGTTTGATTCCTGGTCAAAGGTACATTGCCTGGGTTACAGGTTCGATCCCCGGCCTCGGTGGGGCTTCTTCAGGAGGCAAACAATCCGTGTGTTTCACATTGATGTTTCTTCTTTTCTCCCTTCTTTCTACTCTACCATAAAACCAATGGAAAATTTAGCCTCAGGGTGAGGATTAACAACAAAAAATGTTCCTCTTCAGATTTCAAGAGTTCACACATTCTTGACATTTCATCAAGAAGTATTTTTTTATCTTATTCATTTTCTTTATGATTCTAGATCTATAAGTTTTATAGCTTTAAAATTTCAGAATTTTTCTAATCCATTTTTTGTCTTTTTGTAAGCCACTATCCCTCAGCAGTTGAAAAAAAATGTTTAAAAGATCTTTATTCTCTTTTAATCTTTGGACATCCTCCATGTTTGTTTCCTAAGCAAAACATAAACACTTCTACTTTTTATCCCACTGTTGTCCTACCATTTTAACTTTAAGAATTATTTAGGGTATACCGGTAGTTTGAGGGATTTGTTATCTGATGATAGCAAATAATCTCTCTGTGGCTCCCTGGCCTTGTGAGATCTAAGAATATTCCAGGGAGCACTAATTTTGAGGAGACAGAACAAATTAAGCTCTTACCATAAAGTAAGCTCCATACACACAGAGATTTTTGTAAAAAAAAAAAAAAAAAAAAAAAAAAAAAAAAAAAGGGAGAGGGAGAAACAGAAACATCCATGATGAGAGAGAATCATGGATCAGCTGCCTCCTTCACACCCTATACTGGGGATGAAGCCCACAACTCCGGGTATGTGCCCTGATCAGGAATTGAACTGGGGACCCTTGAGTCCAAAGGCTGACGCTCTATTCAATAAGCCAAACTGGCCAGGGCACACACAGGGATTTTCTCCCTACTTTTACAGGGCCTATTGCTCAACTGATACATAAAGACAATACATATTTACTGTGTCAAAACACTGCTTTCAAAACGTTAAAAGCCTAACCTTTGCACAAATCTAAAGCAAGATTTATTGAATTCACTAATGAAAGAAACCAGCAATGTGGTAAAGTCAGTTCTAAGGAAGGCCTTGAAAGAACACTGGCATAAGACTGCTAGGTTAGATTTTAAAAATGGCTGCTATCATCCAGGCAATAAAATTGTTACTATGGGCTTATCTTTTCTACCGCCCCCAAATCATTTTCATTTCTACTTCGATAATTCACGTGCATAGCTATAGGACCAGAAAAGCCTTTGTGTAACATCAAGCTGTGAGGACCATTGCCTCAGCGGGTTCCAGTGCTGGCAATCACCCTGCTCACTTTGAACTTGTGTCTACTTGTTGCCCATTCTGGGTCCCCCTCCTCAACATGTGTGTTCAAGCTATAGGCCTCATGATGAATTCCCCAGTTTTCCCCTTTCCTCCCTTCTGTTTTACCCAGCTCCCTTTAAAATACCAAGTGATAGTGTTTCCCGACTGCCACAAGCTCCCCTACCCATGACCCTCAATAAAGGCACACGGCCCTTGCTCTGCAATTTCACTGCCTGCAATGGCCAAAATTTGGACTTTGGGTGAAGGGTTGCCTACATATATGTCTGGTGCCTGTGCTGGGATGCTGGCCAGAGAATCCACATGTGGCTTCTCTCTATGGTATAGTGGACTCGGAGTGTTGGACTTCTCACATGGTGACTCAGGGGTCCAGGCTCAAGATTCTATCAAGTGAGGCAGAAACTGCATCATCTTTGATGACAACCTCAAAAGGCACATACTTCCAAGTACTCTATTGGTCAAAGTGGTCAGAAACCCATCTAGATTCAAGGAAAGAGAGAGGATAGACGTACTATTTGGTTGGAAGGTGGCAGGGTCATTTCATGGAGAGGGATGTGGGCTAGGAGACATTGTTGCGACATCTTTGGGAAATAGAATTTGCCACATTACACTGTATAATGAAATATGTTTTATAGACCTCAAGATTATTTTCTTGCAGTTGAGCTATTGTTACTGCTCTGCATTGAGCAAGTCAGATGCAATTTTCTTTGTGATGCCTTTTCTTTTATATTTTTCCTAATGTTGCATTTTCTTAGTTTGGGTTCATTACCTCACAGATAAAGCTTTTTAAATATTTAAGTGATTTCCAGTTTCCAAGTCGTTTTCTCAGGTGCCCATCAATTCCCTGCAAGTGGTTAATTTAAAAGGTTTTTGAAGCATGACTGCATCTGGCACAGGCAAATCTAAATGTCAACCTTGGAAGCATCCAGTGACTTTCAGATGATTCCTTTCCATATAAGAAACTCGTTTTCTATCATGAAGCTTATCTTGTGAAAAGAGGACAGGAACAGTGCCTTTCCCACTCACCATGTTTAGTGTGAAGAAACAGCTGGCCCCCCAGAACATGCAAACTTGTTTCACTCCCAATTTCCCCATCTACAATAGTTGTGCGAAACTGAGAATGAAAATTCCTACTTTGCAGAGTTGTAATAGGGAAATAAAACAAAGAAGCTTCTGACGTAGGGCATGCTTCATTGTAAGAGCCAATGGTAGCTAATAATAAGAGCTACCTTTACATTTTCTGTGTCCATACATCCTTTCAATGTAATAAATCTTGGTCAAGCTCTTTCAGTGAGTGTGCTGGTTTCACTGGACAGGTCAGTGGGGAAGTGTCCACACTGAGGATGATCTGTGAAGAAAGTGACTTCTTCTTAACCCTTAGGCAGTGGCACAAAACGTTCCCTTGAGAGACATGATGAAGGTAACTTCAGGAACTTGAGGTTAACAGAAGGCATCCTTTTTAAAAGGTGGTTAACCTTCATGGATGTTGATTGGGTTGATAAAAGGCAGTATCAATAAAACAACAACAACAAAAATGGTACTCAAATGAGATGTCCCTTGCCTGCCCACCACAGAATAGTACTCACCTTATTGTAAAATATATACATAGTTAGTAAGATGTAATAAAACTTTGAAATATAAATTATGTAAGAAGAAAACACAAAATGTAGGATAGAATTTTCTTCCGTCCCTTGGGGTTTCGACATTTAAAAACCCTCTTTAATCTCCAATTGTTGTAATGGCCATTATAAAGATTAAAACTGTTTACTGCATTGTTTTAACCTGTGAGAAAGCCTTAATTGACTTGAATTTGTTGTCTTTCGTGTGGCAGGTGGTGAAGTTTACCAAATCCTTTGAATTGCTGTCCCCAAAGTGCAGTGCCGAAGCTGAGAACAGGTAGGGCGTGTGTTTCAGGTTTGTCTTTTGATTCTTGTGTTCTGTCCTTGGGGTTGGCAGCATTGCATATATTCCTTAAGGAGAGGAGTTATTGTTTTTTTTTTTAAACCAGCAAGTACAGCCAAATATCATCACTGTTCTGTCTTTCAGGCTTAAACAAAAACTATAATTTAAAAGTACATGTGTATGAATGAAGTCAATTTTTAGATATTTTCTAACTACCCAGACAAGACTATTTTTCTGCTTTATTCTGTCCTTCGTTTCTCCTCCTTTTTTGTTCCCTTTTATCTGGGTAACAGCATCCCTTGGGGAAAAGGAGTGAGAGTTTCTAGTCATTCACGTTTTTGTCTCTAATGTATCTTTGAGGCTCTAAAAGGCTAAAAGTAAGGATTGGGAACAATGAGTGACTTTCTGTTAGCTTTGCACTGCCCTGAATAATAGGTAGGATGCTACAAAAATGTATTCTCTTTATTTTTGTCATCTCTAGAGAAAAGGCTAAAAATAGTAAAATTGACCAAAATGCAGAAATATGGAGGAAGACAGGTAAAGTGCTCAGGACAGCATGATGATGATAATGATGAAGCTGATACTAATGTTAACAATGCAGCCTTCATTTGTTGAGTGCTAAGTACAGCAGGTACTAATCTAATCCCCAAATAATCCTGTGAAGTAGGCATTGTACCCTTGCATGACAGAGGAGAAAACCAAGGCTGAGAGAATATATTCTGGGTTAATATTTCCTAAATCTTGCTCATCATTTAGAATCAAACTTGGAGAACTTGTTAAAAACTAAATTCTCAGGACCCAAACCGAGACATTTTGATTCACTATGCTGAAAGTGAAGTCCTAAAGATCTATGTATTCAAAAGGCTCCCTGGGTAATGCCTGTTTCAAGGGTAATTTGATTTTATACATCATTGCCTTTGAGTTCAGAAATAGAAATCAGTAAATTAAAATGGACACTTTATTCAGTTACTTCACTTTTCATCAAGCGCATGAAGTTTAAAAGAAGCCTTTGTTACATACTGTATAATTCCATTTGTAGGGCATGCCTAAGAATAGAAAGCAAGCCAGGAGTTGTTAGGAGCTGGAGCTGGAGACAGGGGTTTACTACGAAGTGGTACAGGGGAATTTTGGGTTGTGATGAAACTATTCTATATTTTGCTTGCGATAGTGGTTGAGCATCAACGTATAAACCAAGAGGTCACAGTTCGATTTCCATTCAGGGCACATGTCCAGGTTTCAGGCTCCAGTAAGGTTGTGCAGGAGGCAGCCGATCAGTGATTTTCTCTCATCATTCATGTTTCTTTCTCTCTCTCCCTCTCCTTCTCCCTTCCTTTTCCTTCTCTGAAATCAATTAAAAAATATTTTAAGAATAAGTGGGAAAAAAGGGTGTATTTTACTGTCTATAAATTACACTTTAAAATTGGAAACAGAAACCTTTTTAAGACCTTTTTGTTTTTTGTATTTATGTTTAATTCTATATATAATGTTACCTAATTTATACCTAAGATATACTTATACATAGAAAATTACTGATGGTTTATACAGCAATTTTCCTAAAATTTTAATGTAAAATCATTAAATATATTTGGAAAAATATCTATTCATGCTTACTCCTTTACCTAGTCATGGCCTCAAATAAGTTATCTCTTTCATATATGAGGGGGCAAAGCTTTATGGAATTATTAAAACACATTTGAAGTCCTAATACTTCACTGTTGTTCTTTACTATGCTGTTGATTGTATCCTCATAGTCACTGCAGAGTTAAATATTCTTGGTCTTTTGATTATTTTTAATGCCCAAAGGACTGCCATGTCAAAACGAGATGACCCAAGGCCCAGACTGCCCTTGGCAAACTTTCTAATAATAAAGAAAGAAAGGTCAGATTGTCTTTAAAGAGACATTTGAAAAGTGCCTTTGAACTTTGACATTATGAGATAGTCCTCTTAATCATTCTATTTATGGCCTTTAAATTAATGTAGAATGTTCATTTATCTCAGAAGACCTTTCCTGCATTGTCTAGTAATTTTCCTCTTGTAGATATGGGATCCTTCAGTCATTTGTTGGGAGTTAAAGGGAAAAAGACAAGTGGCTTTAGCATTTACTTCGCCAGTGGCCATGGAAGAGACATTGAAATAGGCTATTAGTCTACAAATCACAGCTTGCTCTCAACACCTTGTAAATCCCTCCTTAAACTTTCATCACTTAACATCTTCACTATAGGTAATGTCCATTGGATACATTAGTCCTCTGGTTAGTGCCGGTGGCTTCATTCACCAATGTGTTAGGGTACCATTTCAATTCTGATGAACTCTTGTTTAAGGCTTACTGAGTTTTATATGGTCCTTGAAGACTTTTCTAAAAACTGGTTTTGTTAATAAAGAGATATTTTCTATAAATTCATTTCTGTTTATTTTCTTATGTGACTAACTTCTTTGTCATGCCCAGTTTCCTTTTGGTCTCCATATAAGTAATACCAAATCCTTAAACCATGGCCGGGTAGCTCATTTCATGAGAGCATCAGCTTGATATCCTAAAGTTGTGGGTTCAATCCCAGGTGAGGGCACATACAATAAGCAACCAATGAATGCATAAATTGGTTGCTGACTGTATGTGGAACAATAATAATGTTTCTCTCTCTCTCTCTCTCTCTCTCTCTCTCAAATCAATAAACAAAAAGTAATAAATAAATAAAATCCACAATTCCATCAGTGATAAGATTAAATTATCATATCATAATGGGCTTCTTCCACTGATAGGGAGTTCTGATTGTTAGAAAGGCAATTGAATTACATTTCTACAACTTCCACTTGTTTGTTCTAAATTTGTCCATTGGAAATCATTATTCTTTGGTTAACGTTATTTCTTCATTCACTAGCCACATATTCAGTACCTACTCTGTGCTGAGTACTCTGATAGTTAATGGGGCTACAGAGAATTTAAAATATCAGCAGTCTCAGTCTTCAAGGATCTCAAGGCCAATTTACATGGGTGGGAGTAGGTTAAGAATATAATATAAGCATAACCAGATTTGCCTGACCTCCAGACCATGGCTACAGAGTCCCATTAACAGTGATAATGCATACTTGGCTGTTTGGTCATTTTCTGCTTATAGTTTAAGACCCACAGTCCCTTGCCAAAGCCACTCTGAAAGTAGTTCTGAGAATCCCTGAGATTAAAAACAAAACAAAAAACAGTTTTATTGCTCATTCATCATTTTTTCCAAGTGCCTTCCCTTAAGTCCCCTCCCTCTAGACATGGCAGAACAGCATCTGCTGGGCTTCCTTGACCACTCCAGAATTCCTGTGGGCATAACTGGACTCCTCACTAGTATTGTGTCCCCAGAACTATCTCCAATGCACTGGTGACCTTTCCAAACCTGAGCAAGACTGGGTAATTTGTGCAAAAGCAGGAAGAAAGCTCACTTTCCCTACCATGCATTTCAGTTTGTTGCATGGCCACAACACAGCCCTTTTGTTGAGCTCACTTGCAGGAGATAATGGCATTTCACCTGTTGCTTTTAGGATTTTCTGTTTGTAACTGGCTTTCAACAGTTTGATCAGGATGTGTTAAGTATGGATCCCTTAAGTATGAGTTTATCCTACTTGGGGTATGTTGAGCATTTTGAATGTATAGATTAATGTTTACTTTAATCAAATATGGGAAGTTTTCAGCCATTATTTATTCAAATATTACTTCTGCTCTCTTTCCTCCTGTTATGCATATGTTCATAGGCTTGAGGTGTCTCACATATCTTTGAGACTCTTCCTTTTTATGTATTTAATTTTTCTGTTCCTAAATCCAGGTATTTTCAGTTATCCTAGCTTCAAGTTTGATGACTCGTCCTCCTGGCTTCTGCTGTTGAATCCTCATAGTGAATTTTTCATTTCAGTGATTACACTTTTTAATTCCAGATCTATTACTTGGTTCTTTTTCAAAATAATTTCCATCTCTTATTAATATTGCATATTTGGTGAGACACTATTATCATATTTTCTTTATGTTTTTTGATATGATTCTCTTTAGTATTTTTAACAATTTATAGTAGCTAATTTAAAGTCTGTGTTTAGTTTGGGCTTCAGGGACAGTTTCTTTTGACTCTGTATGGGGTGCGGGGGTGGGAGTGGATCTCTGCTTTTTTACTGTATACTTTCTAATTTCTTTGTACAGCTCATTTTTTTTTTTTGGTTGAAAACTGAATATTTAAAAAATATAATGTGGAAACTCTAGAAATTAAATTTGTTCCTCACTAGGGTTTGTTGCTGTTTCTATTTATTGCTGTTTGTTATTTAGTGACATCCCTGAACTATTATTTCTTGTGATGTGGCAACTGAATTTTCTTCTTGGTTAGCTTAATTGTCAGCTAATGACTCAACAGAAATTTTCTTGAAAGCTTTGAGCCAGTAAATCTTCTAGCCTTGCTGAGGAGATCTATGTGCATCTGTGGAATACCTTCATTTTTTTTTTTTTTGACAGAAAGTTCACTTAGCTTTCACTTTCAGAATTTCACTTACAGAATTTCAAGGTCAGCCAGAGTTGAGAAATTAAGGCCTTTCCTGAGCATATTTACAACTCTACTGTGTGCATGCCCTTCTAGATTTCCAAAAATAGGTCAGAGCTTTTCAAAAACCCCTAGGAATATTTTATTCTCCTGCTTCTTTTTATTTTTCTGGTCAGCTTCTTGTCAGTTAGCTGCTGCAACTGTATGCCTGCCTAAGGCAATTGCTGGATTTCTGGATTCTAATCTCCACAAATGCCCGAGGGATAAACTCTGTTCTCCATAGGTCAGGTGGAATAAAGGCAAGCTCTGTGAGTGGATATTTCCATGGAGCTGCCAGACAGGTCAAATAATGACAGTTATGTGGGGATAGGACTGGTGGGGAGCTCCAAATCAGTTTTCTCTGTGCCAGTGGCTACTAAGCTGCTGTTTTCCACAGCTAATATGATTATGAGACTGTTGTTTTCACAGCTTCGCTAGAGCTAGGAAGAGCTGATG